TCGCAAAACAACATGTCAGATATGCTTCGGGCAACTCGATGTTGGAATCCTTCCGAGACCAAGAGTTTGAAATAATTTCGGCATCGTCGAGCGCGACGCGCGCGCGCGTCCACTTCGCCCCATCTTGCGCAAGGGATCCCAAGGTCGCTCGAGCGATTTCGAAATTCGCGCGCGGGGGGCCCTGTTTGGAAAAAAATAGCCTGGCGAAGGACCCAACCATATGCATTTGTGAATGCCGCACTTGTGAACGCCATCTTCGCCCGCGCCCCCCGTGGCCACGGCTTCCCGCCAGAGCCCGACATGCTCAGGGACGCGTTCGTGGCCGTCTTCGCGGGCGCCGACGACGACGAGGACGGCGCCCCTCTGACCGAGGAGCAGAAGCAGGAGAGGGCTCTGAGAGCCATGAGGGAGGAGGTGGCGTTGCACGTCGACAAAACGGAGTACGACGCCCAGGCGCGGTTGTTGAAGCAGCACAACTATGGGGCCACGATCCTCGTGAGGGGTGTGCCCGAGGCCGCCATGCGAACCCTGCCACTGGGGCCCTCGGTGAAGCTCCTCATGGGGCCACGATCCTCGTGAGGGGCGTGCCGAAATGGCCCGAGGCCGCCATGCGAACCCTGCCACTGGGGCCTTCGGTGGAGCTCCTATGTAGCCGCGATCCTCGTGAAGGGGTGTGCCGAAATGGCCCGAGGCCGTCATGCGAACCCTGCCACTGGTGCCTTCGGTGAAGCTCCCAATGAGGCCACGATCCCTGTGAGGGGTGTGCCGAAATGGCCCGAGGCCGCCACGCGAACCCTGCCACTGGCGCCTTCTGTGGAGCTCCCTCTGGGGCCACGATCCTCGTGAGGGGTGTGCCGAAATGGCCCGAGGCCGCCATGCAAACCCTGTCACTGGCGCCTTCGGTGGAGCTCCCTATGGGGCCACGATCCCTGTGAAGGGTGTGCCGAAATGGCCCGAGGCCGCCATGCGAACCCTGCCAATGAGGCCTTCGCTGGAGCTCCTATGGGGCCACGATCCTCGTGAGGGGTGCGCCGAAATGGCCCGAAGCCGCCATGCGAGCCCTGCCACTGGCGCCTTCTGTGGAGCTCCCTCTGGGGCCACGATCCTCGTGAGGGGTGTGCCGAAATGGCCCGAGGCCGCCATGCGAACCCTGCCACTGGCGCCTTCGGTGGAGCTTCCTACGCGGCCACGAAATGCTGCATTGGGCGGGTGAAACGCAGGGAGGAGGGAGGAGGGGGAGAAGGAGGAGGAGGAGGCGGGAGGAGAAGGAAGGAAGGATGACGCGGGCGCTGTCTCTTCAAAACGAGGACCCAACACCACAGGATGGTTGGGACAAACTATAGTTTTCTTACTCATACATATATGTATGTATATATATATATAAAAGCTTTTGTTGGATTACTCTTGCGATGCCACAGATTGACACTTGGGGCACTCCAATTGCCATCCCTGCGAAACCGAAAATTGCCCGTGGGATTTCGGCGCCCGCGAGCGACGGCGAGCGCGCGCGCACTTTGTCCGCTTCTGTTGCTAGAGATTCTCGCGACAGAACGCGCGCAAGACGCGCGCGCGGCCGATGGGCGAGAGTCGCCCGCACTGCATGATTTGACACGGATCGCGCCCCCTCCCCCCCCCCCCCCCAGCACGCGCGCAAGGGCGCCCGAACGAATTCGACATGCGGCGCGAGAGGCCCGGTTGGCAGAATTCAATGAACATGCCGAAAAACTCATGGTTCCTCGAAGAATTCGCAAGAGCCCGAGAACAAGTTTTCTTAGGAAACTGATGTTGCAAAATCATGCTTTCGCATGTCTCGGGGCTCTCGATTTTGAAATCCCGGCGAAACCACAGATTTTTGAAGGACTTCGGAGCGCGCGCGCGCGTCGCCCAAACATTGGCAAGGGTTTCTCGCGACAGCGGGCGCGCGGGGGCCCTCGAACGACATCGACATGCGCGCGCGAGAAGCCCGTCTAAGAGCAGGTCATGCACATGTTTTTATTTGTTTTTGTACAACAAAGAGAGGGGAGGAACAAAAAAAAAAACTACGGCGCTCTGAAGAATTTGCACGCGCGCCAGCGCAAGCTTTCGTTGAAAAAACGCGTTGCGAAATCAGGTGCTATAACAAGTATTCGAGACACTCGATTTTGACGCATTCTTGCGAAGCCGGAAGTTTCGAAAGATTTTGGCATGCGCGCGCAGCGACGCGCGCGCGTGCATTTCGTCAAATCTGTTGCTAGGGATTCTTAAAAACGAACGATTTGTGATTAAAAACGCATAAAAGTTTTCTTCTGAGGATGGGGTAGGTGGCACTGGCCTGCTTGGGACGGCACGAACCCATATTTAGGATGGACGACGGAGAAGAAGCACATGCAAATTGCAATACGGAAATTGGGAACGAATCATTATTGGGGGAAGGGAAGGAGGGTAAATACGATCACCCTTCTACAGAGAAGGATCTGCGTGGTGCAATCTGCGCGGCGCAATATATGCGCTGCAATATGTTGAAATCTAGGTGGAACAATCTAAATGGTGCAATTGTTTTTCACAAACGAATCGACAAATGCCATGTTCTTGCAAACGCCCTACCCACCCACCCGCAACTTGGTTTGCACAGCACACGCGGCGGTGATTGCGATGAGTGCGCGGCGCCGGCTGGCGCGTCTCCGCGGCCGCGCGAGTCCGAGAAAGCTCGCGCGCACAGCGGCCAGCTAGTTTTTCCGCGGCTGACGCGGCCGCGGCGGCGCTGGCCGCTGGGCACTTCCCAGCGGGCACTTCAGTGCGAGTCGACGACTTGGGCACGCGCAGTACCATGGCGACGCCGACAGCGGTAGACGCGATTATGAGAGTAGCGACGATGGCGGCGATAACGACGGCAAGGCCAAGGACGGCGCCGACGCGGATCACGCCCGCCAAGAACGATGGCGACATCCTCGCGTCGGCCACGATGGTTTTGCAGGAATTCGACACGCGCGCGACGCCGTCGCGCGCGAATGGCCCGCGCGGAGGCATTCGACGCGGATCGTGCCCCCCACTCCCCACCCCCCCAACCCGACCAGGCCACCCACCCACCCCGCGCGCGCAAGGGCGCCCGAATGATCTCGACATGCGGCGCGAGAAGCCCGCCCGGCTGAATGCGACTGAAATGTTGAATCCGCAAGACCGCGAGCGCAAGCTTCTGTCAAAAGTGGCGTTGCAAAACCATGCGTTTTGCCTGCGTTTTCGGGGCTCCCGTTTTTGAAATGCCTGTGAAAACAAAAAGGTGTTTGACGGATTTCGGCACGCGCGCGCGACGACGCGCGCGCGCGCACGTCGCCGCATTTGTTGCAAGGGATCCTCGCGAGAACACGCGCAAGGGCGTTCGAGCGATTTCGACACGCGCGCGCACGAGAGGCCCGTTTGGTAACTCGTTCTGAATATTCGTTCTTAAGAATTCGTCAGAACACGGGCGCAGGTATTATTTGAAGACACCCCCCCACGAAACCATGTGTTTCTTGTTTGATATGTTTTCGACTTTCGATGGTGAAACCCTCACGAAAACTTAGATTGTTGAAAGATTTTGGTATGCGCGCGCGACGACGCGCGCGCGTGCACCTAGGGCTCTTAGAAACTGATGAATGTTGTTAAGCGCGTGCGCGCGCGTAATATTTGCTGCAGAAGATGAGGGAGGGGGGCACCGGCCTGCCTGGGATGGTACGAACTCATGTTTACGATGGGCGATGGGGCAGAACCATACGCAAATTGCATCACGAACCGGCACGCCGTTAACCCCCGGGGGGGGCAGATCTTAATACTTTTCTGGTGGGGAGAACTCACTTGTGGAACTCGCAGTTGTGAACTCCACTGCTCGCGCAATCACCCACCCACCCACCCGAAACTTGTTTTGCGAAACACATGTGGCGGCGACTGCCATGAGTGCTCGGCGTTGGCTGGTGCATCTCTGCGGCCGCGACGCCCGCGCACGCTCGCGCGCGCAACGGCCAGCTAGTTTGGCGCGACCGACGGTGCCGCGGTGGCGCTGACCTGGGGGCATTCCCCAGTGGGAACTTCAGTGCGGGTCGGCCACACTTGGGCGGGCGCGGCATCACGCCGACGACGATGACGGAATCTTCGCGTCGGCGGTGAAGGTTTTGGAATGAGTTCGACACGCGCGCGCGGCAGACGCGCGAGCGTGCACTTCGTCCTGGCTGGTGCAAGGGATTCTTGCGCCAGTACGCGCGCAAGAGCGTTCGAGTGACTCCGACATGCGCGCGCGAGAAACCCATTTCGTAGCCCTTGATGAAAATATTGAGGACATGTGGTTTCATGGAGAATCTGCAAGAGCTCGAACGCAACTTTGTTTGAAAAGTCTTGTTGCGAAAACATGCGTGTTGTTTGAAAGCTGTCGGTAAACTCGATTTTGAAATCCGCACGAAGCCTAAAACCTTTGGAAGGATTTCGGCTTGCGTGCGCGACGACGCGCGCGTGTGCACTTCGTCCCATATGTTGCAAGGGGCTCTTGGAAACTTATGATTGGTGATAAACGAACGCGCGCGTATAACATATTCTGCAGAGGATGAGAGGGGGGAACCGTCACTGACCTAGTTAGGATAGTATGAGTTCTATTTAAGATGAACGATGGTGCAAAATCAAATGTAAATTGCTTGCAATTCGAAAAAAGGGAGTGGTTAAGTCTGGACGGGGGTGATTTTACTACTCTCGTAGGAAGGCGAATCTAGGCAGCGGGACAGCGACGGCGACCACGAGCTGCCAGACCGCCAACCAGGTCTAGACGACGGGCGGCGACAAGGCGGCGACAGGACGGCGACAGCGACCACAGAGCCGCCAGACCGCCAACCAGGCCCAGACGACGGGCGGCGACGAGGCAGCGACGGGGCGGCGACGGCGACCACGGAACCGCCAGACCGCCAACCAGGCCCAATTCCTGAGAGCACAAGTTAGAACCCCGAAGTACAAGCATAACAATCAACTTTAACGTGTGTTTGTGCCTATTCTCCCTCCTGGACCTCCCGGTTCCAGACTTTGACGCCGCTGATACTGCCGCGGAAGGACTGGTTGTGGTACTGGAAATGGCCGCCCACGAACATGCGCGGCCTCTCCTCGGAGGCGGAAGGGGCCTTCCCTCGCCGCTTGCATTCGCCTTCTCGGACCTCCTGGGAGGCCCTCGTCGCCACGTCTGGATTCGCCTCAAGACTTCGGGGGAGTACTGACCCGGGCCAATGCAAACCCGGGTCAACCAGGCCTTGCAGGATCCTGCACCCAAAGCTGGGCCAGTGCGCCCCTGGCCCTGCAGGATCCTGCAAGATCTGGCGCTCTGACTGACCTCCGTTTGCATTGACCCCCGTCCCTCTAGCCCCGGAAATTCAGGTCAGAGCGAGCCCTCCCACAGACGGAAAATGGGGAGCGGAGGAGGGTGGACGCAGAGGAGGCGGAGGAGGCGGAGGAGGCGGAGGAGGAGGAGGCGAAGGAGGAGGAGGCGGAGGAGGAGGAGGCGGAGGAGGAGGAGGGAGGGGGAGAGGTCCGGGGAGTAGCGGTGCGGGCATCCCTTGGTCCCCCCCCCCTCTCCATGCACAGGGGGGCCAAGCCGTCGGGGTTCTCGCCCACCAGCACGCCGTCCTTGAACACCCGCATGTGCCCGGCGTCCGATACCGTGCACAGCATGGTGAACTCCTGCTGTCGGCGCGCAGAGGGGGAACAAGCGACGAAGAAAGGCTGCATAAGCATAAACTGTTGGCCCAGCGCGGATCCAAGAGATCCGCGCCGCGGAGCGCCGAAAGCTTATGTTCACGCAGTTGCTTCTGCTTATTATTCTTCTTCTTCTTCTTCGAGGGAAGGGAGCTCTTGGCTCGACGCTCAGGGGAGGGAGGCAGGATACACGTCGGTCGGAAGAAGTAGGTAGAAACATGAAGTAGGAATGCGGATATAGTAGAATGGGTATAGGTCCTCCCAGAGAATAACAAACACACAGCAAAAGCATGCCGATTCTTGAAGTAGGAAGGCGCTTGAAGTAGATTGGGATCTGGGAAACCAAAAATACCTACTTTCAACGACCAGCGTGTAGTGGTCCAGGAAGGGACGCATCGACCCCTCATCGCCAACATGAGGCTGATGGCCCTCCCCGTCCGGGACCGCGCGGCTTCGCTATCGGGGACCCATCGCCGGTCCCTCGGCGACGCATCGCCGACTCCATCTCGAGACTCCCCCCTGAGCTGGTCCACTCCTAACTCGGCGGCGCGTACAAGGGGGCAGGGCGAAGGGGGAAGGCGTCTTAGAAGGAGGCTGCTCCCTAGAAGGCGACGGCCTTGCATCTAGAAAAGAAGGCCCGCGCCCTCTAGGAAGCAGGGGTGCCTCCAAGGAGCCTCCCCCCCTCCCCTTGCCTCCATCTGCGCGTGGCCGATCCTTCCCGAGCTCGAAGAAGTTGTCCACGCGCACGCTGATCGGCTTCTTGCCCCGGAAGACGGTGAAGTGCAGGTGGTTCGTGAGGTCGATAGCTCCAGCGGTGATGCTGTCCTCGTCAGCCTGGAGCGAGAAGTCGAACACGCGCGTCCAGCTATCGATGCCTTCTTCGGTGGCAACTCATGGGAGCCTCCCATACCATCTTGTCGGCTCTTGCGAATAGACGCCAATCGACGCTAAATCGACGCTAATCGACGCTACATCGACGCTACATCGACGCTCACCGACGCTCAATCGGCGCTGTCTCATCGACTCCCAGACGCTGATCGACGCTCATCGACGCTAAAATCGGAACTCAGAGGAACTCATCGACGCTCATCGACGCTAGAATCGAAATCTCCCAGCAAGCTGACCCACAATCTCCAGAATTTTGGCGATGACCGACTCATCCCTAAAGGTGGGCGTCGGAACCCCTTACGCCAAAAGCGCGCTTGGTGATCTTCTCTGCTCCCATGACTTGCTACCGAATGCCTTCCATCGTCAGCGTGCACATGAACGAGAAAGCGCCACCAAGCCGACCGACGAAGTTCTGCGACAGGTTGAACGGGTTCTTCCCCGGGAGCGGAGCCGGGTGCTCGACGACTGGCCCCTCCTCGCAGTCGCAGGGCGCTGCCGGGGGCTCACTTGCCAGGACCTTGCCCAGGGGCGCTGACACTTCCAGCGGAGCGACAGCAACCTCAGGACGAACTCGGGGACCCCCCTGACAAGAGGCTGCCCACATGGCCGGAGCGGCCCACCTGCTCTGGCCTCCCTGGGGCCGCGCGTCGATGCACGTGCTGCGTCGCCCCCCGACTCGCACCTTCCTCCTGACTGCCCCGTGTGGGTTCAGAGGCGCCCAAGAGGTGCGTTCCACCTCAAAGGGGGAGGCCTCGAACACCAAGCCGGCATGAGAAGAATGAAGGGGCCCTGGGACACACAAATGAATGCACACAAATAAAAAGATGCCCCATATTTTCCCATATTTTCTTGGTTTCTGTCTTCCCCCCCACTTCCCATATTTTCCCATATTTTCTGGGAAATCGACGATGAACTGTGTCTGTGTGTTTCTTTTCCTCCTGAAAGATGCGGCTGTACAGTGCGCGCCCGAGGAGTGACGACTCTCTCGACCGGCGGGCCACCGCTCTGCTGGACCACCACGGCATGGCAGGAGAGCCCAACATCGAATCGACAGATCGGATCGGCGATCGCAATGTATCGGATCGGCGGAAATCGACGGCCGAGTCGGGAGAAGTCGAATCGGAGGAAATCGATAGGATAGCATTTCTCCACTCAGGAATCGGAGTCAAAATGGGAATCCGAAGTCGAATCGAATCGGGATCGGAAGCCATCGAACTTGAATCCAATCGGATCGGAGGAATCGAAACGAGCCCTGCATGGCCCTGGCTGCTGTGCTCTTGAACCGTGCGCGCGCACACCCAGGTGCTGCCCCAGGGCCCCCGGCCAACGGCATATCTTCCGAAGGGGGGCGCCTTGCCTAGAATCCCCCAGCGGAGGGACTCCCACCAAGACGCCACAGGGGCGCCAAGATGGCCCCGACCAGGCCTGAGGTTGGTGGCCACATGCGAACCCAACCCCCATCCCCCCCGATTTCTAAGAGGGGGTGGGGGTTCATCTCGTTCGGGAGGTCCCGAGCGGAGGGAACCCCCACCCCCCTTAGAAATCGTTGGGGGCGGGGGCAGGGCTCACATGTAGCCAAGGATGATGGCGCCCAGGGCCCAAAGGTAGCCCCCCCCCAGCCGGGCGGAGCCGCACCGACTCCACACGCCTGCGCCCCGCTGCTCGCCGCCGAGAAGTCTCGCGCCAGATCCAAGGGTTAGGTCGGGCATGTCCTCCTAGAGGCGGATTTTGAACGAGAATGAAAAATTGTCCAAAAAATAATCCAAAATCGTCCACTGACTATGTTGTGACTACTTTTGGATACTCCTCCTGTGGAGGGACATGCCCGACTTCATCCAAGGG